TCGAAGAACCATCATTACTGCACGAAGAAGTGGAATAACTTCTTCTTCGGAAGCCCCCTTATTCCTCGTGGAATGAGGAATACAGGGTTTACTAAAAGAGCATGTTTGCTCTTCCACTAAAAAAAGCAGAAGAATGTGTCCCTGGATGCGGAAGAGTTTTTCCGGGATATCTCCTGCAGTCTAGCCGTACCCTCACTGGGTTGAGACAGGAGGTCTGGGGCTCAGGGATGGGAATAAGGGATTTGGGTGTGGGAAGGGGTAAGAGGTGCAAACTCTGGGAGGAAATTTGGATGCATGAGGAGGTGGAGAAGGGGATGCTGGCTTGGGAAGGGGCTCCAGGCTGGGGAGTGTTGGGGTCAGATGTAGGGTTGGGGTATTAAGCAAGCCACGGGCTTGTGGATGTGAGGGTGCAGGAATTTGGGTTGGGGTATATGAGGAGCTCAGGGCAGGGGGGTCCAGTGTATGATAGATCTGAGCCTAGAGTCTGGAGGGGGGTGCAGGAGTGTTAGGATGCTGCGGCCAGATGGAGGTTTGGCCTCAATTGGGAGTTTGTTGGACAGGCTTCATTTTTAAATAAAATACTGAGTCAAACACAAAAAATTTCTGCATTGTCTTTATTTATGAGAAGGGCAGGGAACCTATTTTGAGTCAGGGGTCACTGACCCACAGAAAAGTCAGTTGGGGGCCACACAAGTGAGATGCAAAAAAACCCTCCCCCAACTGTGCTGGTGGGAGCAGGGGACATGCTACTGGGGAAGGATGCTAATGGGTGCTGGGGCAGGGGACAGGGTGTTGCTGGGGACAGGGGGCAGGGAGTCCCCTCGCACCCACCTCCCTGGCCCCTCTCCTCCGCAGAGGAAGGAAGCCCCGGTGTGTGCCTCCTCTGGGGCCGACTCCCCCCCTGCAGAGCAGGGAAGCCCCGGTGTTATGCTTAAACAAAGTACACGAGATCTTTTATAGGGGAAAAGGCAGTACTCCACATTTATTGAGAATATAACAATTGCATGTGCTTTTCAATGATTCACACACACACACACACACACACACAGAGTCCTGCCAGACGATTTTATAGTTACCAGTCCAGAGTCTGTATCAATCTAGTAGCCAGTTAGATTGATCACAGAGGGAGAGCAGGGCCTTTCGTCAGTTGCGATCAGATGCTCATCTGGAGTTGGTGGCAAGACAAACCCAAAGTTCCATAGCAAGGCACCCTGCTTTTATAATCCTACTCTCTCTGTTGAAGTCTATGGATTTCACTGTGTCAGTCTATGACCAGTTACTGTTATCTTGTTGATGTTAATCATTCCCAAAATCAACATCTCCAAGAGGCTCATCCTGTCCTGGATTGCTAATCAGTTGTTTTTAGGGATGCCTTCACCTTTAGAGCTGTCAATCTGCCAGTCTGATCAATTCTTGACCGTGGGTATGCACTGATGGTTCTTCTGATGCTGATATGTCTCTTCATAGTCTGTCTTGTACAGTTTGTCTTCACTTGCATTGTCCCCCTTCTCTCTTGACCATCTGGCTCTAACGATGACCTTCACATGTTATCTCATTCACACAGTCTTTCACAAAATCCTTCAAAGGTAAATAGTACTGTTTTATATTAATCAAAATCAAAACAATTCACATCGAAGGCCTGGACCTTCAATATTTCTAATCTCATTAAGTAAGGGGGAGGGACTGGGAAGCAGAGCTGGTGGGGAGAGGAGGTGGGGGCAGCGGGGCTGGCCAGGGGAGATCGGGAGAGGGGCTGCCGGCAGGAAGCAGAGCTGGTCAGGGGAGATTGGGAAGGGGGGGTGCAGCTGACGAGAGAGGGGCTGGCAGGGGGAGATCGGGAGGAGGAGAACCAGCCAGCAAGAAGTAGGGCTGGCAGGGTGGGGGGAAGTATATCTGCCGGCAGGGAGCGGGACTGAGCAACACTGGGTAACTCCAGCTAGTTAAACCTAAAATACGAATATAAAAAGAGTAAAACTTTCAATCCCAACACTGGCGCTCACCTCCTCTGGGGATGACTCCTGCCCCTGGCAAATTCCCGGCACACCACAGACCTGGGGGAGGGGAGCAGCCAGCACACTTCCGGAACCCCTGAAAGTGGTGCACAGCTGCAGGACTTCCATCCATCCAGCACGAAGCCAACACTACCTCCATTGTTGCTGGAGGTAGGGTAGTGGGGCTTCTTGGGGGTGGGGAGAAGTGGAGGGAAATGGGGGGGGCCCGAACACCTCGTGATTGACTGGTCGAGCCCTCACGATCGACCAGTCGATTGCGATCAACAGGTTGGTGACCACGGCTGTAAAGTGAGGTACCACCTCATTATTCTGTCATTGGTATCCCTCATGGTATGCAACCACTTGGTGTCTGTCACCAACACAAAAGGGCTGCCTAAGAGGTAGAACCTCAAGGCCTCAATTGCCCATTTAAGGGCCAGGGCTTCCTTTTCAATAACCGAGTAATTAAGTTCCCATGGAACTTAAGTATATTAACTTTCTACTAATATAGGGGATTGGATGTTCCTCTCCCTCCACGTTTTGGGACAGTAAAGCTCCTAGCCCCACTTCTGAGTCATCTGTCTGTACCACAAAGAGGTGGTTAAAGTTGGGGCTAAACAGCACCAATTCTCAGCACAGGCAATCTTTGTGAGTCTTGGCTACACTGGGCACAACCAGGAAACTTACTCTCCTCTCCCACAGCCCCAGAGCCATTAATGGGGTAGACTCTGGCCACAGTGCCTGTGCCAGCTCCAAGCCTGCCAGCCCAGAGCCAGCAGTGGCCACTGGGGCCCCTGACTCAGTGGCCCCAAAACATGAGCCAGCAAGCCACTGGCAGCCAGCCCTCCACCGCTCCTCAGGAGCAGTCTGCCAGCTCCCAGGAGCCTAACAGGGGCTGGAGAAGGTGGGCGCCTTTCTGGTCCAGGGTGGAGATCATGGAACTTATTCAGGTTTGGGGGGGCAGTCCCCAATGTCCATGATCTCCACATTAAGCGGAGGAATGTGGCCGTCTATGGCAGGATAGCTGCCAGCCTGTCCACCAAAGGCCACATGCGAACCTAGGAGCAATTTTGCATGAAAATCAAGTTGGTCCGGCAAGACCCTGAGCTTCTCCTCCCCCTTCTTCCCCCTTCCAGCTCCCTCCTCCCAAGTTTTCCCCTCCCCTCTTCCACCCTCTCTCTTCCCCTCTCCCACCTCCTTTTTACAGTCTCCCCAGAGGTTAATTCTCCCCCCTCCCCAGTTTTGTTAAATAAAGAGTTTCTATTTTTGAACACATGGGCCTTTTATTTTTTTATATCAGGAAGGGGTGCTAGGGAAGGTAAGTGGAAGGAGGTGAGGGAGGAATGGGGCACGAGCCCCTGATGGGGAGGACTGGGGTGGCTCTGCAGGCTCCTCGGGGTGGAAGCTCTCCTGCAGGGTCTCCTGGATCCTGACAGCCCCCCGAAATTCCCCCCTCCCCCCCCACTGGATGGCAGCCTGCGGCAAGTGCAGCCGGGCTGATGGCCGAGTGCTCAGGGCACTCCAAGACAGGACTGCTTTGCTATCCCTCATTTAGGTAGACAAGCAAGCAGGGAACCCTGAGAACTGTCTGTCTGGGGTGGGGCTCAGGTCCCTATAACCACAGCCCTCGGCTAGCCTGAGGCAGCAGCTCCACACTCTAAGTCCTAACCTGACGCCCTGCCAACGCTGGTTCCAGCCAGCCTTAACTTCAGTTCAGGGTCCACTCAATGTGGACATGCTAGTTCGAATTAGCAAAACGCTAATTCAAATTAGTTTTTAGGTCTAGATGCACTAATTCGAATTAGCTTATTTTAGCCTCAGGCAGCAGCCCCACACACTAAGTCCTAATCTGATGCCCTGCCGGCACTGGTTCCAGCCAACGTTAACTTCGGTTCAGGGTCCACTCAGTGTGGATGCACTATTTTGAAATAGCAAAAAGCTATTTCGAAATAGTTTTTGTGTGTAGATGCGTTATTTCGAATTAACTATTTCAAATTAAGCTAATTAGAAATTGCACTTTAGTGTAGACAAACCCTAAGTGCTTCCTCTGTGGGCTTGGTGAAATCACTTCACCTCTCTGACCCCCCACCTGAAGAAATGGGGATAATGACACTTTGTGCTCAGAAATCAGAAGATTAAAATTGCTATTTGTAACTAGAATTGTAAATAGTAAATAAAGGCAAATGTATGCTATAATGTGTCTCCTCCCTATCCCACAACCTTAGTCTGCTGTTTGCCTTAAACACTAAGCTGTTCATACACAGCACATGTTTGTTTGAACAACCGCTGATTCATATGTTTCTGTTCCTAAGTAAGGTCTATGGCTGCTAGTTTACTATATATATTTATTAATAAATCATACAGTAAAACTTATTTTTGAAGTTTAAAGTAATACAAATGTGTACCTTCTGGAGCAAGGAGATACATTGTTTCTGGTAAAGTCACTCCTCCATATTCTTTTCTCAGTCATGCCATGTGTCTCTCTAGTATTTTATAAATTCTTGAGTCAGAGTTTGTGATCAAACTCACGTCTACTGTGATATATAGCTGATATAGTGGCATAGGGGAGAGATGGTTAATATACTTACACAGTAAATCAAGAAGAGGTTCAATCCCCAACTCCTATATTGGTGGTGATGTAGGGGGAGGAGGTAGTGGGGAATCGTGATATATGAGGAAACATGTATGTCTTCTTTTTACTTAAAAAGGTGAAAACAATTACAACTCTGTAGCTGAAAATCACCAGATTTTGGGAATAGTTTAGGGAGGATTAGAACTTCAGGGTTAGGGACAATCTCTAATTGTGTCTTAAGAAATTCCATCTATATACTTTGAATCCAGGACTTTGTGTATTTCCTTATATCCAACAACCCTTCAAAAGCTGTGGTAACATATTCTTGCATATCTGAGAACATAACAGAGCCTATGTTAGTTTCTTAAAAACCTAATTAATAGAGCTGTAAAGATAATGCCTATGATGATGACATTATATTTCTTGTACCACTGCAGTTTCAAAGAACATACGAGTCTCTACAAAACGTATCCAATAAATCTGAACTACAGAAAATCTACCAGAAGCTCAGGAAAGATCTGGAAAATCTAGATTATTTGGCCTACAGACGTCAACAGGTAAGAATATGAAAACTTAGGGCACAAAATCTCTGGTTAGAGAAAGATGTATGTACCTATGGCTGCCATCAGTCAGGGAGACAAGTTAATATGAGTGACCCTGTATTAGGTAGTTTTGGATTTCAGCATTAATCTGTTCTAATTCCAGAAATTGTCACACACAGGGAGTCAGATGTAGCAGGGGCATCAAGCATTCAGAGGATTTAAGGGTACACAGTAAGTACCGCATATAGATGAATGGGAAGTTTGACAAAGTCATTGTGATTACTCATGAAAATAAGGTTGTGAAAGGGAAGTTACAGAAGACTCATAAGTTCTACAGAATACTTCAGAGCTTTTTGAAGCTATTCCATCACAAAGTCATCTTATATACCATCTGCCATGCAAAAGAAACAATTGTTTGCGAAGACAGAACAATAATTTGGTATTATATGGAAAACATGGATGCTGGATACTGGATAATAAAGTTTGTGTTTCATAATAAAGGATTAAGTTATGAGCTATAAAAGACAGAACAATAGTTTGGTATCATATGGAAAACATGAATGCTGTATACTGGATAATAAAGTTTGTGTTTGATAATAAAGGATTAAGTTATGAGCTATACCTCTAGAAGTTAATGGTATCAAATCTTTACTTATGTGACTGCTCCATATAAAGAGTTAATGTATTTGAAATTGAAAATTCCAAATAAATTAAAAATAGCTGTCAAGAGTTGATCCCATGACTTAAATTGGACTACTTTATGTTAATCATATGCAAGAGATTACAGGATCAAAGTCAAAGACAATTGTTAAAATGTATATAGTGCTATTTTCTGTATCATTTCCATAATTAATTTAGAAACGTTAGTTTTCATAATAGCCTCTGTAGTTTTGTTGCTATTTTTGCAGTCTTTGAATTTTTTTTTATTTTTCTGAGTTTTGTATATTTGGTAGTATGTTAAAAGAGTGGGATAAAGGTCTTATATTCTTTCTGGTTGTTTAAAGTTACCACTAGGTGTCAGGGTTGTCAAATTTACTTCCTTACTTTTTTTTTTTTTTTTTAAGGGACAATCTGTTACAGTAGGCATTTAAATGAGATAATTGATTAGACTGAAATTTAAGAAAAGGTACAGAGGCTGATAATCATTAATAACTTGTTCCTGTGTTAGGGAAAGCATGGAACAAGTTGCTGAAAACAGTTTCATCATGGTGACAGTGTTTTCTTGGTTTGACAAAACAGACATTTTCACAACATTTTAATGTTTTTTGACAGCTTTTCCATGAAATAGAAATTTTAAAACTAACTTTTTTTTTGGTTGAGAAAAATTTGACTTTGGAATTTTGAAATTTTGTTTCAAATTTCAGTTTTTAAATTTGTTTTACATTATTATAGGATCTGGAAGTAGTAGTATTTTTCCATTTCAAAACAAACAGAACACTCTGGATCCACAAATGACAATCATTCAGTGAGGAAGTGGGTCTGGCCCACGAAAGCTCATCATCTAATAAACCATCTTGTTAGTCTTTAAAGTGCTACATTGTCCTGCATTTTGCTTCAACTACCCCAGACTAACACGGCTACATTTCTATCACTAGCCACTTTTAAGGACTTTAACAATAATAGAACTATTTAAACTACTACTGATATATCATAATGGCACAAAATAGTACTAGTGTGTAAAATACACAATTGACATGTCATGAAAAAATGTGTAAATATATATAAAATATGAGAACACACACAATCTATCACACAATTTTTCCAAAACAAGAATGTTTGATTTGTTTTCTAATTTTAAAGTTTGTTTTCATTCTAAATGTCACAATCTCACATGAGATGGAAAGCCTTAGTTTTGACTAACTGTAGTGAGATGAACTTAAAAAAATAACAAATAGTCTGGTAGCACTTTAAAGACTAACAAAACTTGTAGATGGTATCATGAGCTTTTGTGGGCACAGCCTACTTCTTCAGATGATCACCTCAGTGAGATGGTACACAGATTTTTGTGTCCTTTGATATAAGGCCACTCAGTAGCTAGAAGGTGCTGTTTCTAGTAGTGAATTATGTCTGGGTATGTCTACACTACAGAGTTAATTCAAAATAACAGATGTTTTTTCGAATTAACTTTAATAGCTATCTACACATACAAACCGCTATTTTGAAAAAATTTGGAATAGTGGAGCCCTTATTTTGAATTAGGTAAACCTCATTCTATGAGGAATAACACCTCATTTGAAACAGCTAATTGGAAATAAGTGCTGAGTAGACACTTATTTCAAATTAGGGGGCCTCCATCCCTTTTCAGTTCCCCCTGGTGGCTACTCTGGCCAAACTAGGAAAACTTGTCTGCTCCCCCCCAACCCTTAGAGGCAGTCTCTGGCCACAGTGCCTGTGCCAGTTGCCAGCCTGCCAGCACACAGCCAGCCACCCGTTGCCACCCAGCCCTCCACAGCTTCCCAGGACCAAGCTGGCGGCTCCCAGGAGCCTGCCAGGGGCCACAAAAGGCAGGGTGCCTTCCTGGTCAAGTGTGGAGATCGTGGGCCTCATTGAGATTTGGGGGGAGGCCTCCAATGCCCACAATCTCCGCACTAGGCACAGGAATGCGGCTGTCTACAGCTGCATGGCTGCCAGCCTGGCCACCAGAGGCCACATGTGTAGTCAAGAGCAGGTGCGGAGCAAGATCAAGGAGCTGCGGCAGGCCTATGCCAGGGCCTCCCAACTAGGGGCTGACCCAGAGGCCTGCCCTTACTATGAGGCCCAGGACCGCATCCTGGGGGGGTCAGATGGTCTGTGCCCCCCTGGTCATCATTGAGCCTGGGGCAGAGGGCCCTGCCCCTGACATAGGGGAAGAGGAGGAGGAGGAGAACGGCAGCCAGGAGCCTACCGGGAGCCTGCCCTGCATCCAGGAACCCCGAGCCATCCCAGAGAGCCCATCAGCAGCCTCATCCAAGGCCAGGGAGGCCTCCACATGTGAGTGACATCATGGTCCCCTTACGCGGGGTGGGGGAGGAGGAGGAGCCCAGGGACCTTACTCCGGGAGAGACACTGCACACTGCCTCCCTCCAGATGCCCCCTCTACACAGAGTCAGGGCACATCTCCCCTCCCCCCGCCACCACACTGTAGGCAGCAAAGGGGCTGGGGTGCACTCCTGGGCCAGCTCACACTCCTGGGGATAGCAGGACGTGATGGTGCGGACACCTGCCACCCTCGCCTTGCAGAGGGGGGCTGGGTTTCACCCACTGTGGCCCCAAGGAGAACTGACCACTTCTCTTGTTTCACCTCAGCCGCAGCACCTGCAAGTGCAGGACGCACCACCTGAACCTGGGCCAGCGGGTGCACCCACAACCAAGAGGAGTTCCAGAGGCAGCAGCTGTGCCTGCAGGGATGTCAGGTCCACAGTCAGGAGCAGAGAGGGCAAGAGGGAGAGCTTGAGGGAGCTCCGGGAGCAGGGCCGTGCCCTCCTTGAGCACCTGCAGGCCCTGGCGGACCAATTGCTGCCTCCTGCTGCTCCAACCCCTGCAGCCGCCCCAGCTATCTCCTGCGGACGCCCCAGCTAACACTCCTGCTCCCCCTCTCACTTTTTCCACCCCCCCCATTCCTCCTGCCCCACTCTCCACACCCACTCCTTCCCACGCCCCTGCACCCGCAGTGCTGTGAGACGGGAGAGCCAGCAAGACCCCCCACCCCGAGGCCCCTGCACCCGCAGTGCTGTGAGACGGGAGAGCCAGCAAGACCCCCAACCCTGAGCTTCCCCTCCCCCTTCCTCCCTTTGTCTCCCCCTTCCATCTCCCTCCTCCCAGGTTTCTCCCCTCCCCTCCCCCACTCTCATTCCCCCTCTCCCTCCACCCCAGTTATGTGAAATAAAGACTTTTTTTGTGGCCACACACGTGTTTTTATTGTAGATCAGGATGGGGGGTTAGGGAGGGGAAAGGAGAAGGAGGTGGGGGAGGAATGTAAGGCTCCAGACTTCAGTGGGGCATGCCAGGGGAGGACTTCAGTCCTCATCCGCCTGGAAGCTCTCCCGCAGGCCTTCCTGGATGGGGACAGCCACCCGAAGGGCCTCCCATCTGGCAGCCAAGAAGGGCTGTGTGTACTGGCCAGCCAGGTGGTCAGCCTCTGCCATCTAGGCTGGCAGGGAAAGCCCCCCCCTCCCCCTT